TGCAGCAGGGTGCATGAAAATAAACATCCCTCAGCTTTTACAGAGAAAATGGATTTAATCTGTTTAATAGCATGCAGTAACACTGTTCAGTCAAATGTATTTTTGTTAGGCTAAGTTTGAATTCTGATGTCTACTGCCTGGAAGTAATTTTAATATGTGATTATTACGCCCTTTAACAGTCCTCAAAAATGGCATGAGTCTGGGTTCACACTGGTGGCTGCACCTCAGCAAAGCTGAGCGGCTGGTGTTGCTGACATGCAGCTCCAAAGAAGAACAGACCTTATAAACCTGCCTTCCTTGCTCTTCTCACACAAAGATACAAGGACAGAAAAAAGACACTGAGGCTAACAATCTCTCAGACCTTCACATACCGGTAAACCTATATACTTCTGGCCTCACTAGATATCTATATATCTGTATATCTATATATCTATATCTATATATATAGATATGTGTAAATACTGGATGCAGTAGATGCAAAATTACTACTTTATTTTTGGTTTCAAACTTGACACATCCTCACTGAAACAGCTAAACAGCTTGTAGAGCCTGTGCCAAGGGAGTGTACTGTATTTAAATGAAGTTCAATCAATTTTCTTCATGTTTCTCTTCCTACCCTAAACTTCATTCTTTACTGTTTACTTCCTTTGGCCCAACTCTCCCTGCTCAACCAGTCATACAAACCCATCTCTCTTAACCCCAGTCCCAGTTTCTTTGCCGAAAATCATTCAGTCTCTTGTCATCTCAGTCCCAGTCCCCCTTGCCCAGGAAATCTCCTTGTCCTTCTTGTCCCAGCTCTCAAAACCCCATCTTTCAACCCTGCCTTGACTTTCCAGGCAGCTTCCATATAATTCAGGTCATTTCCTCCTTCACACTGCCAGAGTGATAAATGCCTCTTAGCTTTGCCAAATCTCAGCCTTGCCAGACTACAAGCTGCAAGAGATCTGAGCATGTTCCTTTTCTCCCTGGTTACAGAATTTGAGATGTTCAAAGACATGTAATGCAGCTAAATTTAGGTGAAACTTACTGGGAGATCAGGAAGACACATCCTTGTCCCAAAGCTGACCTCCTGGCAAGGCTCACACTTTCACTCTGAAGGCCTTAGAGGAGATGAAGAGCAATGGACCATTTTCAAAGGAAAGGTCACCTGGAGTTTAACATGAACAAAATGACATTTCCTCCAGCTTTATTTACAGAACCAGATGAACCATTTCAACTAACATTTTCAAAGCCCAGCATGGGAAGTTTCAGTATGCATAGCTAAACTGACAAAATTACAAAAAAAACTGAGGGTAGGTTACTTTCCTGGGGAATGCTGGGGGAAGAAGAGCCATGCACCAACCCTGTCAGAGAACTTTTCCCCTCTAAACTAACACTGGCAGCTGAGGGGCAGCCTGCCTGCAGTCCAAATAATCACTGTGTTTCTTTTTAATAAGAGTTTGGACCTGCTTCAAGCCTAGCGCTAAAATTAGATATTTTACTAGCTTTTTAATTTTTCAGATCAAAGTTTAGAAGTTTAGAGAAACCGCATAAGCCACTGCTGAAGGTTTCTGTCTGGACCATGGTTCTGAGTTCAAGACATCCAACAGAAGCTGTTCTGCATTCTGTAGGAAGCCAGACAAGCACAGCTCAAGGAGGCAAAAGTGTTGCACTTCTCACCAGTTTCATGCTGCTAATAGGAAAAATGCAGTTCTACTTTTTACAAAAGCCAAGGGAAGGATGAATACCTAGACACAGAGTTTTGGCTGTAATCACAGCACATGGTAGTTTAGATGTGCCTTTCTAAGAGACCCCTCTCTAGAGGACACAAATGATTCCAAAGACATAAACAGCATGCCAGCCTGACTGATGTGATTCATTGCTGCCTTTCTTTGATGAGATCACCATATGCTGTTGCAGAGCAGAGGAAGCCTCAGCGCTTGAGCCTGAATTTTATGGTTCAAGAATCACCTATATTTTCACTCAGGAAATTTATAGTCTTTGCTAACCCTAAACTAAGAAGACACATCAGTCACACATTGCAATCCTTCCAGAAAACTCAACTCCACATGCACTATTTCAGTTTTTTCCAGTGCAGCTTTTTCCACTATTTTCTGGTTCTGTCATTTTGGAAGTAGACATAGGAAAAAAAGTTTAAAAGTCAAATCAGGCAAGCTGCACCAATAAGTTAAGTTCAAATTTTCTTGAAATAAGTAGCAGTCTCAGAGCACCAACTCAGATCATGTAAGACTATGTACTTAAAAACATTTGGCTTAGAAAAATTACCTTTATTAACTTTCCAACAGTGCCCCCCAGAGAAGGGTTTCTAGAGCATTCAAAAGATAACACTGCTCCAGCAAGTGCTCTACCCTTTCAGTCGTTCCATTTTACTTTTCTCATCAAATATGTTAACATGCCTTTAAACCAATGCAGAGGCCCTCCTGAAATTTTTATACAACTTTTTTTAATGTGTTTTATTTTCTTTTACTTACACTTTTCGTTTCTGATTATGTTTCAGGGTCAAAAAGAACCACATGAGGAAAATCAAATTTTAAAGAGAGAGATAGGCGAGGTCATAATCCATAATAATTTTTTCCCTCTTTTAATAGTCATTCACCTTCCTGATGGGTTGATATGCTCAATCACCCACCTAATTTTTTGAGTTTTACAAGAATTTAAACTTTACTTTTTCACTAGCAGTTGATCAGTTAGTGCAAATGACGCTGCATGCTCATCAGTTACCAGTATATTGCTTTATTTCTTGGTAGCAAATTAAGGCTTTATAGTGAGATTTGTACAGTACAGGCCAATTTAAACATTAGAAACTTTTAAAACCATGTAGCACTATTCACTCAATTTAACATAGCCAGAAAAGTAGCTTTTTTTTTTTCATAAACAATTAAATGTTACTAGTGAGGCCTTATATTTCATGAGTGCAAATGGCTCAAAATCCCACCATTCTCAGGGCTCAACATTTAAATTCTTTTGAGGCCATTTTTAGATAAAGGATAAACAGAGAGTATAGCTGGCTCGGATAAAATATATTGTATTACTTGCTGGAGAAAAATCTCTAATTTTAGAAATATGGAAAGGAAAACCAAAATGAAATTACCCATCCAAGGGATGGTATCATTTCATGTTAGTCACTGACCTGTAACAGTAGCAATGACAAGTTCATTTTCCCTGGCCCTCTTAACTTCAGTATAGCTTAATTTATAATTCAGAACTGATGCCATCCTGTATATTAAAAAATCCAAAACTGGAGGAACATACATAAGTTACAGGAATTTTTGCAGCAGTACAACAAGTTCCCTCTCCAGGGACATAAACCATATTGCCCTTTTCCCCCCCCTTTTTTCCCTGCAATTTGAGAGAGCATTGTTATAAGTATTTCCTCAGCAGTTACGTGTTTTTCTTGAGCATATTGATTTTCACTTGATACCACTGATTTTATTAGTGTTGTCTGGAGATGATGGAACTACTGCTTATGAAAAACAGACACAGTGCTTCCCTTCTTATGAGACACTTATAGGATTTGAGCTGAACATATGAATTCACCTGTCAGTCAGGCACAGGGGGCCTGCCTGAAAATATCATCACCCCTCACGTATCTGGCTTTCAGATCTGAGCATTACATGTGAAAATGCAGAGGAACAGCTGCCAAAAAATTATTAAGAAAGTAACCATGAATCAACCACACACTCTGGGGAAGGAGCCAATGAGATGGGGGACTTCCAAAACACCCCTGCTCATGCAAGAGCAAGAGTGACCTTGAGAGTACCAGGAGCTCCCAGTGTCACGGGGCAACTGTGCTGTTTAATTCTTTGTTGAACGCAGCTGAATCTCCAGCCTAAGGGAAGACACACAGCCAAAGTCTCAAAAAATTTAAATCTAATGTGAATAACACTCCAATCCCCTCTGTCCCTGGGGGTGTTACCTAACATGAGGCTAATGTCTTTGAAATCTTGAGATCAGCCATCTATCCTTTGAACTGGAAGGCCACAGAAAAGGGTCAGGTTTCCAAGTGTATTAAGGCACATACTAACTTTACCTCAAATGCAAGCCTGGTTTGCTCAGGGAGCATTCACTGCAGTGGTGCCACAGCTGCTGAAGAGCTACAGCAAAGGGACAAAGCCAGACTTTCTGGTTTCAGCCACGCCACACAGCAATTGGGACTGCCCTGTGCAAGCTGCTCCACAATGCCTTAGAGCCTCTCTGCTGTCCTACAGTACTATCTCAGCTTGTTGCAGAATTACAGCAGCCTCTCAGGCTGGCTTGCTGGCTTTTCCTTTTGCCAGGCCACCAAGATCTCATTTGTTCTCCTTCACTCAGGTGAATACATCCCTGCTTATCAGAGACAGAAGTCCCTATCTACTACCAGAGGGTGGTACTACACATGCAGGAGAGGACAAATTTAGAAATGAAGGCAAGTAGTGATGATGCACAAGTAACCTGGAGGTTGGCTTCCCAAGAGAATCCATGCATGGGCACAATATCCAGATTCACTCCACAGAGGTGCTCAGCGATGGCCAGAAGGTCTTACTCTGCCTCAAATGAGTATGTTTAAGAATATTACCCAGTATTTCCTGAGGGATTACAATGGATGACTACCAAAAAGATACTTCTTGGAGACAAGAGGATGATTTATCAGCCATATTGGAAAGACTTGGGGAACACAGACACAATATTGCATAGTCAGCTTTGTGAGCACAGCTAGAATTCAGATATATTTGACACAGCTTAGTAGCATCTCCAAAGGAGGGATTATGTGCTATTTCCTTTGGAGGCAGCTACTGTAGCCTGGGACAAGATCATGGCTCTTATGGAAATGACACCCCACCGGGGATGTTGAGCACTCATTGCTTTTGCATTAAGGCAGCCTCTCCACAGAGACCCACGGCACCTTAAAAAGTGATCATACAAAAAGCAAACAAAATAGTCCTTAAGAAACACCCCCTCACCCATAAGGTACAAGAAAAACAGACTCCCGTGAGCGACAGAAAAGAGAGCATTACTGAATATGGGAGCGTGTGTTTATACATCAGTGTTTTTAATACTGCATTGCAATGACAGGTGTGGGGTGTCCCTTCAGAAGAAAGCAGGGTTGGTGTGCTCTATAATACAGCGCTTGCAATGTCGTTTAACAAATCGCAGAGCATCCACAGAGACTTCGCAGTCCTGCACGTTCAACATCTGCAGGTCAAAGCAGTTGGCAGCCACTATCTGCAGGCCCTGCCCAGTGATGCTCTCGCAGGATTTCAGGCTCAGGCGCTTTAGGTTGAAGCAGTTGAGGGCTAGAAACTCCAGGCCGGTGTCTGAGACCAGCGGGCACTTGCCGATGTCCAGCGATTTGAGTTTTGTGCAATTTTTGGCGAGGTACTCCACGCCGTGGTCCGTGATGCCCTCGCAGCCCCGCGCGTTGAGGTAGCGCAGCTTGCTGCAGTATTTGGCTATGTATCGGATGCCCACGTCCGTGATGCGGCCGCAGTGAGCGATGCTCAGGTATCGGAGACGCGACTCCAGCTTGGCGATCTCCCGCATGCCGAAGTCGCTGACGAAGCGGCAGTCGCTGACGCTCAGTTCCTTGATGGATGTGCAGTAAATCATCAGGTAGCGCAGCCCCTCGTCGGTGATGCGGACGCAGCGGCGCAGGTACAGGTGGGTCAGCTGAGTGCAGTGGGCGGCAATGGTGTGCAGTCCTTCGTCCTCCAGGACGAAGCAGTCTGTCATGTCCAGGTAGCGGATGGAGATTTGCTTCCCGTGCAAGGGAGACAGCTTGATGGAGGCTTCGCGAGTCAAACTGATGCACGTTACTTTGGAGCAGCCTAAGTGGAAAAACACAGAGAGTTTAAGCAAGCAGTAAAAACAAATCACACGGCAGGACCAGAAAGGCAGGTGTGGAACGGTGTGCTGGACGTGATGAAGGTATCCTCATGTTGCAAGAGTGGAATCACCCTGCCTGACTCCTCTGATTTGTTGTGCTGAGTCCCTCCACCAGAGGAAACAATAAACTCCACTGGAGTCAGTGAAGTTGCTTTGAGATTGTGAGCCCTGGAAAGCAATGGACTGATTTTGTCCATATCCCAAATGTAAAATGGTGGTCCTGGGTCTATCAGGGGACAGCCTATGATCTGTTACTGCAATATGAACCCAGTGACAGTCAGAGAAAAGGATACTACGTGACAACCAATGCAGTTTTTTGATCAGTCTCATTGCTGACTGGCTGAATTTACAAACCAACATCAGAGGCTCTTTTACCATCCAAACTCATTATAGAAAACACAACCCCCGCTCCCTTTCCCCCCTGCTTCTGCCCCAAGCATTTGGAGAACAGATGTGAATCCAGCCCCAAGCCTGCATTGGGAAGGATGAAAAAGTATGGCACAACTGTGTGCTTGCAGAAGGGTGGAGATTCGGATAAACTAAGGAGAATGGGGAGAATTAGTAGGAGCCAACAGACTACTAAGGGCATGCGAGGACACAGAGAGACAAAGGAAAGGATTGTGTCCAATGAGAAAGTCTGGCCATGAATGGAGGTAACTAGACTAGAAGAGAAACACCAGACCTTGCAAGGAAAGACACAGAACTAGATTAAAGGGAAAAACACACACGGACTTTCCCGTTTTTTAACCTCCACTCATTGCATAGTGAAGAGTGAAAGCTTTTTTTGGAAAGTGTGGTTTCTGCTGCACTGCAAACTGGCAGTCTTAGGCTTCTTAAGGAAATTCTTAAGCTGTGCCAAGTTCAGCTGGGCACTTTGCATTAGCATAGCTAGAAACAGCTGCAAGAAAAAAGGGAGAGTCTACCCATTAGTAATTAAGGTTCAACAGTTTTAGCCATAAATGGCTACTCAGAGTTCTGCAGGTTATGCCTGAAGAGGTGCCTCCAGGTAGAAATAAAAAGACCTTTTCTGTATTGCTGGAACACTGGCCAAGCAATATGAAGTGATTAATAAAAAGTGACGACCTAGAGCTCCATGTATCAGAAACCCTGCAGAAATACTGTAGTGTGGAATTAATGAGCATGGTGATGTATGGAGACTGCCTCAAAAACTTACAGGACCCAAAGCTATACCACTCGTTATTAAAAGCTGTCATTCAGAGGCTTAGATGAAGGTCTGAATATGCTTCAGCTCTTAAAAGCAAAAAGGAAAAAAAAATCACTTGACACAACCATGTGGACTCACACAAATGCTGTAAGAAGTGTGCAATGTGGACTTGAAACACTTTGCCACCTAGATTTCTACTACTTTGCAACTAGATTTCTACATTCATCATTTAAATTTATGCTCGTTCTTTAATTTGGGTTTCAAATTAAAGTGTGTGAGTCAAATTCAAATGTGAATTTAACCTTAGGTCTCACACATATTAAATGGGCAAATTGCCCACAGGTCATGCAGGAGCAGGACCTTGAAGTAAAACACTGTCCTGAATGCTCTTTTCTCTTCAGGCTGTTTCAGATCCATTTATGCTCTGGAGCAGTCTCTGGGAATACTTTTGCCTTCCGGTAAGTACTGTATACACACTCAGCAACATAAAGGATTTTTCTAAAGGGAAGCAGTACAATACTAATGCTGTAAAAAATTCACCTCTAGTATATTCTTTGAAGTAGGTGATACAAAATGCATGAAAGGAGTTTCACAGTAGAAGCTGGCACCTAGGCAGGGTTCTGTTGCACCTGATGTAGCTGCTGCTGTTGCATTTGGCTGAGGAGGTTGCTGGATTAGGAAGTCAGTCTGGATATTTTATATTCTGACCAGAACTCAGTTTTAAATCCAGCTTGTTGAGAATGATGCATCCACGAGGCCAAGGAGAACATTCTGTGTGCTGAGAGTTCAAGAAGGTTTAATGACCATAACTGAAAGTAAATGGGTCAGAAGTCTCACAGCAGGGCTGGAGTCACATACATCACTTGTGCGACCTCTTCTTTGTCAAGCTCAGCATTGCCATCTCTAGTTACTTTGGCTACACTGTAAAACATTTCATGGGAAGGATATTCAAAATGGTTTCACCAGGAAAAAGAGTCTATGCTGGTATAGCACAGACTGAATTTTAGGCAAAATGACAGGTTCCAGGGTCCGCAACAATTTTTCTGTCCTAAATAATACAAAATGTAAAAATAAAGCTCTTGTAACAGGATTTTTCATAAAGTAGGTATAACTGATTTCTAAAAAGGAGGAGAAACATCCAAACAGACCAAAAAACATTGGCTAGAATGTTAGATAATAACTTGCAGTCAAGCTCAAACAACTTCTAGCAATATCTCAGACCTGCCCACAAAGTAGATGCTGACAGTGACAGAACTTACATTGTGGAAAGCTCCTGAAGTTAATACAAACATCTGGTTTTGACATTAAAGATTTTGGTAAGTTTTTGCTGCCAAGTAGCCACCCAAGGGGGAAAAGGATTCAACTAATTGTACAACTTTGAACTGGGATTTAATCAACTAGCAACTAGCATCACCCCCCAACATACACCCCCACGTCCTCTTGCTCAGTATGGAACCAAACAAGTGAAACAATTCAGTCCTGAGAATTCCTTGAGTATGGAGGCGCAAGCCTTGTCCTCATAACTACAGAGAGAAGCAGGGAAAAATGGAATCCTCTTTCCAAAACATGCTCCAAAATTACCCACATCAGAATGAAAAAAGGGGACTCAAAACAAGAGCCCGGAGACTGATTATCCTCAATTCATATGGTACATGCAGCAAAAGCTATACCCAAACCCTGACTTCTGAGCATGTTCAAAAGCAGAATTTTTCCCTCACATGCTCCAAATAGAAAGAACAACTTAGGAAAAAAAGAAATTAAAATTACTTTCCTATCTCATTGATGAGACAAAATGAAGACAGGTATTTTATTTGCCCCCTGCACACTTTATACCAAACTGATGAGCTCTCAAGGACAGATGCTACCTTCTGGGTCTGAGAGTAAGCGGGTTGGGAAAACCACAAATGAAGCTATTTCAAGATCTGGTATAATCTTTTCTTTTTCCCTGCCTTTGAAAAAATCACCTTTGTTCTACAGCACATCCATGAACAAGGGCTGTGGACCAAAGCATTTTTAACCACATATAAGCCCCAAGGTACACTCATAGTGTGAGCTTCTAAGCTCTAGGTCCAAATCACACAGGTATATACATTTTCCCCTGGCACTGGAGATGCTTCAACCTGAATGTGTGATTAGCAATCCAGAACTAATGTCAGTGTGTACCAACAACAAGTAATTCATATCCAAGGTCACTGTGAATAGACTTTTGTGGAGTTCCATAGACTCCTTATTACCCTTGTGGTTTCAAAAAGCGATCACAAAAAGGGCATAATTCTGATTTAATGATATTTGTTTTGATGCCTTTCATGACATTCTGCCATCCTAGGAATGGGGTGAGTTGGACAAATCAGCTTAAAAAAAAAAAAAAAAGGCAGAGAAAATAATGAAAATCAGTGTACACCAGATAGATAACCTTGGAAAAAGTATGTGATACCAGAGACTTGATAGCATCACTTTCTATCCCCTGTTGTTTAACCCCCATCTTCATCCTGCTTGTTACCACTGGTACCTCTGCAATGGCAAATCTGATTCAGCTGATTTATGATGGCATTAGACTGATAACAGATGAGATCACAAAGTAAATGTTAAGCAGCAAATTTACTTCAGTGCTCTGCTTGGCTGCATCCTTTCCAATAAGTGCCAACCTATTTGCAGAGAGGAAATTCTGTGCAACTGACCTTGGGAAAAAATATCTTGTTTCCCCAGAGCACGCTTGAAGAAAATTGTTTAAAACATTTCTGCTGATCTAAACAGATCAATGCTGCTTTAAAATGCAATGGCTACTTTAAAAAAAAAAAAAAAAAAAAAAAAAAAAGGGAAGAAAAGAGAAAAATGTTCAAGCTGGCTAAGTCCTGTTAAAATAGCAATGGAAATAAGGGGACCTTGAAGTCTAGCTAGGGGCCTAGCACTTATTCTGAGCTCCTCCTCAAGTCACCAGATTACAGATGTATTCATTACCTATAGAAAATCTACATATACATGTGTGTGAAAAAGATAAAACAAATTTTGCTGAAGTATCTATGGTTCACCACATAATGTAGCACTGACTGCAGCATGGGCCCTTCTATGGGTGCTTTGTGCAAAAACCTGTAATAAATTCTTGTGCCATTTGAACAGGCTGTCTCTGTTATCTCAATTCCTTTGGAAGTGGCCTGGCCACTCCAGAGGTGCTGCTGGCATTGGGGGCACTGAGATTTTAGTGGTGCCTGTCTCACAGGTGTTCTGTTAGGAGACAGGAGACTGCTGTCCTTGAAAGACAACACAGAAACAATAAGTGTGAGTTTATGGAGGTTGACAAACATCAGAAGCATCTGTATTCCCTGTTACCTGACACATCCAGATGTTCCAGGTTTGGGCACAGCGACACAACGTCAAAGACCGCCTCATTGGAGATGTTGTAACAGCCAGACACCTCCAGCCTGCGCAGTTCTGGACAGCACTGGGCAATGGTGTAGAGTCCTCTGTCTGTGAGCCGCCTGCAGCCACTAACAATTACCGTCTCCAACATGAGACATACGTTGGGAGTATCCTGACAAAGCCTCCGCGTCAGCACTTTGAGAGCCCTGTCTACGTTGATTGTCTCGCCAGTCAGGCGAATAGTCCTCCAAAGCCGCGGGTCCCAGGCCAGGTTGTACCAGCGGCGGCACACGCGGGCACAGCGGCACAGCTGGTTAGTGGGCAGGAAGGAGAAGATCTGGATCATGGAGTGGTCGGGCAGCCGGTCTATGTTGGCCTGCTCCTTCTGGTGCTTGGATGCCAGCCGGATGAGAGGATGGGTGAGACGGGTCGGAGGCGGCGAATGGACCATGGCAACGGTTTCCCCAGTGACTGAGGATGAAGACGTCGACGAACCTCTGCCATTTTGGAACCCAGGGGAATTTGGTGGAAATATTAACGCTGGACTGGGTGTGCTGAGCGTGCGCATGCTCAGGTCGGAATCTGGAAGATAGAACACACAATTTTAATGAGCACTTGACAGGCAGAGAGCTCTCTGCACAGCATAGCACCCTGCTGGCCCATTTGCTAATGGCATACGATGGCCTTTGGAGGTTTGTTGCGGGGTCAAGCAGTCACTTCTACCAGTCAGAGTGAGAAAACATATTTCAAAAGCCATGTGAGCAAAGGAGATGATGCAGTTCTGAGTCCTGAATAGAAGACAGCAGCGGAAGGATTATTTAAAATCCAAAGATTGGAATTCTTTATACTCTTAATTAAATGCTGTAAGGAATTATTACGTTTGAGTCACAGACTTTTTCTTGACAGAAAGTAACTGTTCATAACCTTGGCATAGCTGTCAGCTCTTAGGGGCAGAGGATGCTGTGGTCCTTCATCTCTCAGCTCTTTCAGCCATTCAGCAGGAGGCCAAAAAAGAGCTGACAAGGCAAATGCTGCTTCCTTCCACAGATTTGGGCAGATGGGAAAAGCTCAACTCCATTTTCAACGTGTCATCAGAGAAGTTAATTTTTCAGTCATGCAAACTGGAACTCTGAAGTTAAACCAAGAGCCCAGTGACTAGTTCATCATGTGCACACAGAAAACACTCCTTTCCAATGGACTAGAATGAACTTCAGTTGGATTGGAAAAAACAAAAAAACCAGCCTAGAAAAGTAACTGATGAAGAAACAGCATGCCTGGAAAATTGCTGGAGAATTGTTATACAATATTTACACACTTTCTCCTAGGGCTGTTTGTCATACTGGAAGAAAACCAAGTAAAATACCGGAAGACAACTAAGATATAACTTAGATAGTTGAGCAAATGCCATGGGCAATACGTTCAGAGACTCTAAGGATATTTTAGTAGTATGCTACACAAGATACAACCAGTGTATGAGAGATGCATGTTGCTGCTGAGCATGCTCCCTCCACCTCACTACTGATCTCAATAGATGTTCTTCACAAAGGAAAGCACCACCCACAAATGAATACAGTAACCACAATTTAGTGACCAGTAGAATAACAAGTTTCACAGACAGACAATGTTTTAGAGGACTAAGCTTTTCTCCACATCACATCTCCTGCTGTCACATTAATGTGCATTCATTTCAGGGAACAAAAGACTTTGTGTACAGAGGCAGCCCCTTAAGTGACACTGACTCTGCAGCTGTGTGACTGTGACAGCACAGGTAAGGGCTCAGCAAGATACTGTCAGAAATGCATTCAGCAAGCATGTCCACACCAGGATCTGGGCAGAGTTTTTGAATTAAATACATTTTTGGTGAACTTGATGGTTACACATAAACTTCCCCGTCAAGCTTTTATTTAGCCCAGCACAGGCCTGCTCTGATCTCACTACCCACAACAACAGCAACCACAGGCCTTGCATTTTCACAGTGTGCCTGCAAGAGAAAGAGGCACAAATATTTAGGTGAAGAACTCAAGACACAAAGTCCAGTTCCTCAAGATCACCTAGCTGAGTTGCAGAGAGATCAAAATCACCCTCTCACACTGAGGAGAAAAAAACCTATACTGCCCAGTTCCTTCCCTCTTCCTCTTCTGCATCTTGTTTTTCTTTAAAATTCACTGTTTCAGCAAATGAAAGGAAATATTTTCCCCAAGGCTTCGGAGTCTGTGCTATGGCTATGTGGTCCTAACACAGGGATTTGTGTATTTATGAGCAAGAAGAGTATCTTCATGCTGAGTAGGCTTTGCAGACACTCTGCTCCCTTTGAGAGCTCCTAATACCCCCCTGGCAGCTATTGCAAATAATTGCATCAAGGAGTGTTATTTGGTAAGCATCTGGTATATGTTGGTATTTTAAAAATGAGATTTACAGCTGGAGAGAAAGAAACCAAGCAGCAGCAGCCAGGCTCCTGCAGACAAGCACAGACTCCACAGGCATCTTAGGCAACAGTCCCTGAGATTAATTTTTGCAAGGACTTACCATATGTTTGACCTCCCTCACATTATCACCAAAACCAATGACAGTGCCTGAAGCTAAACATGTGTGGAATATGTGGCAGAGCCTTTACTTTTTGCTGCTTTTTTTGGATTTTAATACAAGAATGTTTCTAATATAAAAGAATATACATTTTTTCTCCAAGTGCTGGATGCATCTTCTACTAGTACATGTATTTGATATTGTCAATTCCTTTCTTTTTACTTTTTCCTTTGCTTTTGGCTTTTTCCTTGGTTGATTGTTGGTTGTTTGTTTTACACAAACCAGAACAAAAAGGAAAACAAAATGATATAAATAAAAAACCACAGAACAAATATGTGTTTCTAGTCCACAAAATAGAATTAAAATCAAAAGCAAAAAAATTAAATTATTAACATCTGTTTTCAACAATTTTTAGTCCTGTGGGAATGAGTACCTTCTGTAAGACACAGCATATTTGGAAGACATACATTTTTAGTCAGTTATCGTTAAAAACACCTTAAAATCTCTGTCGGGCTACAGTCTTCATTAGTTTCCATTTCTACTTAAGCATAAAAAAGCTTTTCATACTCCATGATTCTCCCCCCCTTCCCCTGGTGAGCAATGCTCCAAGCTAATACGGCTAATCTCCACTGCTTTTGGATCAGAAGTGGCATTCCTTCATCACTCCTGGGCACTGTGAATAATCAATACCTTAGACAGTCTGGGTGCGTAATGAATTACTATTACGTGTTTTTTAACTTAGACTTGGAGCTAAAATAGGCCTGACCTTCTGTTTTATGTGTATGCTCCGTGCTTTGTGCTCTCTTAATTCTCTCATTAGTATAGCAGTTCCAGATGTGCATCCTGTATTTCCTTTCCCTTCAGTCCTGAAGGTGCATCATGTGAAACTTGCTCCCTCCATCCTTGGGGCATGGACTTCCATAGAGACACGTGCACACGCCCCATCTCCAGTCCACAAAGTATTGTGAGAAGAGACCACAGTGTTGTCATTGTGTTTAAAAAAGGGAGCTGCGAGCACATTTCTGCTCTGCTGAGCCCGTAATGCAATATGCTCCCAGACAGGAATTTTGCTGGTAGCTCAGCTGAACTCCACATGAAGGTATTCCTGCTTACTGTTTACTGTACACCCCTAAGGGGAAAAAAAATAAAAAAATAAAAAAATAGCAGGTGAGTCCAGGAGCCTTATTGCCAGGAAAAACTTGGAAAGTTTTTTGCTAGCATTTAAAACTTTAGCAAAACACTCGGTCTACTGCACATTTTCCAGACTTTTCTAGTGTTGTTGGGAGGGGCTTCCTATGGCACTATCTCAGCCTCTAGGAGTTTGTTTCAAATTTTGTTCTTCACCATTTACTGAGTGCTAGCCAACAGGCTGGGGCAGTCTGAGAAAGATCAACTTAATGACAGTGTAACGCTAATAAACACAACCCTGCAAGTACAAATGAAGTTGCTGATTACAGTTCTCAATACACATCTTTATACACACAAATGCCCTATACAAGCATTTCTCTTGTAAACTCATCTGTTTACAAGCCAGAAACGCAACTTTAATTTTGGTGATCTTAGAAAGTAAAAGCAAATTAGAAAGCAGCCCTGTACTTCCCTCCCTACGACCTCTTTTGCCCCTTTGCCTCCAATCTTCTGTGCATGATGCCTTTTATTAAAGCTTTGATCAAGCTCTGAAAGTTGTTTGTTGATGAAAGACAAAATTTCTTAACAATCTTTAAAGAAATCTGAAAAGATGAGTGCCAGTAACAGAACCATAAAAGCTGACACAGAAGGAGCAAATGCACTAGAGGGAGTTTTCTTATTCCACTAGGAATCTGGTTTATTTCAAAGGATTCTTTCTCCCCAGTTTGTTACCCAATTAATACATACATCTGGGAACAAAAAACCTTTAAAAATATAAGATTCAAGCCAAGATCTAGTCTCCATTCCTTCTGGCACAGACACTAATATGCAGTCTCTGATTTCAGAACCAGAGAGAAAAAACAATGTTTTATTTCCATTACTCCAGCATTGCACACTAACACAGGACACTCAATGTCCAGATCCCAGCATGGACTTTTTAGGGTTGAACCATTTTCCATGCTTAAGTCATGGCTCCATTCATTCACACCTTCCACTATGGTATTGTGAATGAGTCTTTTTTGAAATGAATACTATACTGAGTTCTTCAAGCTAAGAAAATTAAAATGAAAATTTCGCAAATAGCAATCAAATTTCAGATTCTTATCTCACAACTGAAAAGGATCCTCTGTGTTGATCTCCTGTCACCACTGACATTTTTAGCAAAACTAATGCAAGAAATAAACCAAACCCTGTTCAAGCTCTGAAAAAGCCAGTATAGCCGAGAAAAATAAAAAGCAATTGTCATTTTTGTAAATGTTAGCTGCAGAGTAATGTGCTCAAGAAGCATTTACACAGAGTGCCAAAACCTCACTGAGACTTAGCATGTCTTCAATAAGTGTTTGTAGATATCACATGTTTTACTAAGTGCAATGTGGGTATAGACTTCACATTTTTACCACAATACCATCAACCTCAGGCATGCCAAGTAAGTTCTCCTTTCACAGGAACTGGGAAAAATGGGAACTTAATGGTTGTAGCAGCTACAATCAATGGAGCAAAGGGGAACAGAGGTTTCTACAGGGGATACAATGTGGGCTGATTCAAGGAGAGACTTGTGAATTTGAGAGATTTCAAATATGGCTGTGTGCCCTTAGCTGAGAGTAGGAAAAGGACTTAGCTAGGACAGTAAGCTACAACACAGCCATTTTCTTTTCAAGGCCCTGGGTATGGACAAAGTTCCAGAAAAAGGGATACCTACAAACAAACAAACAAACAAACAAACAAATGAAGCACCTTCCACATTGCAAACATCCTCAGGCATTTCTCTCAGGATAAGTTACCCTACTGACCTCAGTTCCTCCCAAACTGGAGGTGAGAACTGGAGAGTCTGAGATAGCAAAGAGGCAGCTGGAACAAAACTCACATGCAAACTTGTGTGGGGCTGCAGCGGTCAAGAATGCCAGAAGGAAAGGGTTGCCCAGTGGAGATAC